ATCATGGTGAATAATTCTTTTTATATGCCGTTGAATTCGATTTGCTAGTATCTTATTGAGAATTTTTGCAGACACTTTACCATTTTAGAATTATCTTTTTAAAATCTACATTTAAGTTGATGCACTAGGAACTAGGTGTTTCTTTAAACCTTGGCTATAATTTATTTCTAAATGGAGTTCTTCAGTCCAGACTAAAAGAAGATCCAAAGATCTGTGCTTTTTGTTGCTCTGATAGAAAATGTCCATTGAGTATTGTAAAATAATAAATATAAATATGCATAAATATATATGAACCATAGCCTTGGTATAAATACTTTGGAAATGCCCGGAAATAAAAATCATAGTCGTGGTCTTCAGGGAGTTTAAATGTAGTCGGAGAGTTTACCTGTTTTTTTTAACCAGGCAAACTTAGATACTCTCTAAACTAATAATTCTGTGTTTCTCAATTGCTTAGGGGTTTTTTTTGTGAGAGAAGGTAGAATCTCTCCCTAATACTCAAAGAAAATGTTCTATGTCTTTCTCGCCATATGGTCCTCCTTTTTATTTTAGAATGATCTCATGTGTTGTAGCCTGGTTTCCTCTTCAGTTAATTTTTTCTGAGTTGTTTTGAAATTAAAGAGGATTTCTACAGCTTCTAGTAATGAAATGATAGTTTTCTCTCTTGGTTGTATAATTGATTACTTGTGCTGAGTTTGGTTTGTGTTACCCCTTGGAATTTCTTTATAGATTAGTTCTTAAGCTTTTAGAGAAGTTGGATAGACTTCTGGACTTAAGAATTTCAAGAAGCTTAATGAGAAAATGTCAGGTGGAAGCACTGCCTGAAAGTTACCCCTTCCCCCCATAACTTTTTTCTTTGACGTTTGGGGACTTGTTTTATTTACTTGTACACTTCATCCTGTAAATAGTCACACATTAATTTTAAAATTCCAGTCCAAAATTACCTTGTGCCCTTTGTTTTGCTTATTTGCATTATACCTCTTTTGACAGTAGTATAATTAATTTAAATATTCCATTCTGTCCATGTGTGTTTAAATGACTACACATTGGCTTTTTCATTAAAACGAACATTTCTTATGAATCCATATAGAAATATTTAAGTCGCTGGTCAAAAAGATGGCTGTTGCTATTTTCGATAATTGTTAGTAACCTTGTAGGGTTATAGAATTCTCACCACTTGGTTATAGAAAACTAGTTTCTGGCAGTTGCTGATATGAGCACACCAGATTTTTTCTGCTTCTTGTGTTTCCACGTAAAAGCACTTTAATTAAAATAAAAATTAGTATTTGAAGTTTTAAGCCGCTGAGCATACTTCTTGATGTGTTGTTAAGTACGGTCATTGCTGCCTACTTTGTAAGGATTGAAAATGATTTGTCCTTTTCCCAGTTTTCTTCCCTTTGGTTTACAACAGAGAATGAGCAAACTGAGGGCAAAGGAAAGAGTAGGTTACAGAGTTTAGATAGTTAACCCTAATAGTTCTGTCTGTATGAAAGAGGAGCAGTTATTGCACGTACACAGATAATATTTAAACGTATGAACATATCTTCGAGATATTTATTAATTGGATTAGATGTGTTCTTAAAATACAGCAACCTAATTTATCAAATGGCTTTCTTCCCCCCCCAGTTCTGTAGAAAATGTTCTCAAAACACTCGTGAAAAGCTGCCGACCGTAAGTAGCTTCTCATTTTATGAAACCTCTTGTTATTTCTTTGGGCTTTTTCCCATTCTTAGTGTGCTTTGAAGAGAAAATTGAAGGTATAAATAGTTTCCAACACTGTGATGTTAGTCACTGGGCACAACATATCATTTTCAACTCTTGAACTAAATTATTTAGCTTTCATTTATAAATTTATAAATTTTTTTTTTTTAATTTTTTTTTCAACGTTTTTATTTATTTTTGGGACAGAGAGAGAGCATGAACGGGGGAGGGGCAGAGAGAGAGGGAGACACAGAATTGGAAACAGGCTCCAGGCTCCGAGCCATCAGCCCAGAGCCTGACGCGGGGCTCGAACTCACAGACCGCGAGATCGTGACCTGGCTGAAGCCGGATGCTTAACCAACTGCGCCACCCAGGCGCCCCTAAATTTAGAAATTTTTAAGTGATGTGGGTGTTCCCCATTATAAAGTAAGATTGCCATAGTTTATGTATAATTGTCTTTATTTGAAAGATTTTCCTAGAGTATCATTACTCAGATCAAAAATATTTTCCAAAATGCGTATTGTAGGTATTGCATCAAAATGTGAGTAATAATGAAAAGGTGTTCAGACATTTTTTAAAGTATTTTAAAAAAAAAATTTAATGTTTTTTATCCATTTTTTGAGAGAGAGAGAAAGAGACTTGGGTGCAAGTGGGGGAGGGACAGACAGGGAGACACAAAATCTGAAGTAGGCTCCAGACTGAGCTGTCAGCACAGAGCTCGACGTGGGCTCAAACTCACAAACCCTGAGATCATGATCTGAGCCGAAGTTGGACGCTTAACCAACTGAGCCACCCAGGCACCCCTGTGTGTTTTTTAAAGTAAAAGACATTTTTTTAAAGTTCTCTTTCATTGGAACATACAGAAATATTCCATATTCTTATATTTAAAGATGAATATGGGTTGAATTTAGTTTTAATCAACTAAAGTCCAAGTCTGTGGACTTGAAGTGTTTTTTATCAGGGTGTTCTTAGACTGCTTATCCTGATATGTATGGATGCAGTGAATTCTTTTGAATAGAAATCCGTATTTTGCCATATTCTTATGAGTTAAAGTTATAAATGATTTTATAAATCAGATATTTATTGCTGACCTACCGTCCTACTCAGTCTTGGGCAAATGTATTTTTAAGATATAGTCTCCCTTTTAAGATTGAGGCTTAAGATTTAACCTGAGTCATAAGCCACCAATGAGCAGTGTCATTTTGAGCAAGGCACTTACCTCTTAGTCTATGTTTCCTAACTGGATACTTGATCATCACTGGGGTACTTAGTGGTTTTTAGGTTCTTAGGTAATTCATAGAACACCCAAGCTTTTATGTTGGATTACTAAACTAACAGTTGACTCTGAAAGATTAGAAAGGAGAATTGGTGTATGAGATCTTTAAAGGCAGGATATATTTTGTGTGTGGTTGTGTGTGTGTGTGTGTGTGTGTGTGTTCTAACCTGTAGCACAGTGACCTGGCACATGGATGCTTGATGAACCCAAAGAAGTATTACTGGAAGTGTAGTTCTATTTTTCACATAAAGGAATAAGTGTGATTCTAATTAATACAGATGGACAAAAGATATAATAGGATTAATAATGTGACTTGTAGGGCAAACCTACAGGTGTATTTGAAAGGGTTTCCTAACTTTTTTGGCCATACTCAAATCGAATTTGTCATATACTTTTTGTTGTTATTTTAAATCCCTTAATGGATATTTAGTAATTATACATGGGTCCTCTTTTTCCATTTACCTTTGTTTTGTGTATGAATGCACACGTCAGATTTTAATTTTGTGAATCTTCTCTACTCCAAGGGCTCTCCTGCCCATTTCCTAGACTTGTAAAATATTAGTACCTGTAGGACCAGACCATCTAGTCTAACCCATTCTTGTATTACAAGAGAGCTCTGTGGTACAGTGAAAGGAAATGGTTTGTCCGGTGTTCTCTTTCTCATGTCACTGATTATCCATATATATAGACTGGATTTTCTGACTAAATTTTTTTCTTGTTGCTATTACATAGCACACAGGAAGGGAAAAACTGCAAGAAACATGTATGTTTATATTTATAGGTTATTTAGAGTGGGAAAATGTGTTTTAAGTTAACTTGACATTTGTAGTGTGTGTGCTATGCCTTATAAAATCCATCCCCCCTCCCCCTTTTTTTGTCAGTCACATGTTGATGTTGTAGAATGTTTTTTTAAAGCACTGATTAGGTAAATGAAAACCTTCTTTTTTATTAGATACTTTCCAGCAGATGCCACAGCTGAGATGCTAGAAGAATGGCGGCCTTTAATGTGCCCTTTTGACGTAACAATGCAAAAGGCCATCACTTACTTTGAAATATTTCTTCCTACCTCCCTTCCTCCAGAACTTCATCATAAAGGTTTTAAGTAAGTATATACATATCTTAACAAATTATAGAATAGAGCAAGAAATAGAGATGTATAAGCAGACCAGTAAAGCAATTATAAGTAAAGAAAAATTTACTAATTCAGCCATTATGTTGATTATACTTGAAGTGTGTGAAGGGTGAAACAATTAAACATAAGATTGTAAATGAAGAGAGAATAATGCTTGTATGTCAAACAAATAAGATGAGGGCTTTTCCTGGCTGGCTCAGTTGGTAGAGCACGTGACTATTACTGATCTCGGGGTTGTGAGTTTGAGTCCATGTTGGGGTTGAGCTTACTTAAAAATAAAATCTTAAAAAAACAAAAAAGGAAAGATGAGGGCTTTAAGAAAGCAAGAGAGAAAGAATAAAAAATGCAAAAAGGAGTAGAAAGTATCAGTAAATAAGCAGTGATAAAAATGTTAAATTGTGTGGAGTTCAGGAAAAGGAAAAGTGTTTTTATAAAACTTGGTTTTATTCATCACTTGTAGTTTTTCTTGGGCCTTTCCTATAATTTTTTTTCTTTACTTGTTCTATTCTTAGCACTGCTTTTAAGGATTTTTTTTTTTTTCTGGGGTGGCTCAGTTAAGTGTCCAATTCTTGATCTCAGCTCAGGATTGATCTAAGGGTCATGCGTTCAAGACCCACTATGTTCTGTGATGAGCATGAAGCCTACTTTAAAAAAAAAGAGAACTTTTTTTCTAGATGACTATAGGTATAAAACAAGTGCTAGAATGAAGAAATTTAGACTGTGCTTTTATGGAAAAAAGAAAAGGTATGAAAAAAAGACTGGAAGGAAATAGGTATTATTACTGTGTTGTGGATTCATGCTTACTCCCCAGTCCCCCCCCCCATATTTTCTATAGTGAGATGCCAAATCTTTTATTTCTTTCAAATCAGAAATTTTGTATTTAGCTGTATATTGATGAAATGTTAATTCTCATCCAGAAATTCTAAAAGCATTTCTTTGACCTTTGTAAAGATTGGTGAATAATATTGCAGCACTTTCTTGCCCTGACATCCTCTTCTGTTTAATCTGAGATAATTCCCCCACAATAATTTAGTTCTACCTAACACTTCGTGACTCATTCTTTTAGGGAACACTTATTATAGTGGTAGTTAATGGCATAATTACTAATTGGCTTATTAAAAAACAGAATGCAAGGGAGAGTTGCAAGAATAGGTAGTAATAGGAAAATATTAAAGGAGAAAGGGAGGAAGGAGACACTTGTAAACAGTGTTAGATAGGGGTGGTCAGTAATTATTTAACAATGAAGTAGGGGGTTGATGAGATTACTCTTTTGGCATAAGTATATTGGAAGTGGAATATTCAGAAAAAATAGTTATTTTTTCCATTAAGTTTGTACATTGAGTATTATTTTTTCTAGGTTGTATAGTTATCAGTAAGAATAATAGATTAAAAAAATACAAAGGATACCTGGCTTTGAACCACTTTCTATAAATCACTTGCTATTCATAACACCATTTTTCTTCTTCAGACTTTGGTTTGATGAATTAATTGGCCTTTGGGTTTCAGTGCAAAATCTCCCACAGTGGGAGGGGGTGAGTATCCTATTTTTTTCCTTCTGACAGTATATATCAGATCATTTGATAAGTAACTTCACTTCCTGGAATTGGCTCTTGGCAGTGTTGTAATTATTTTTTGTTTGTTTTTAAATTCTGTTTGCTGTTTTCTAACAGAAACAGACACTTGTTTGTTTTGTTTTTACCAATATCTAGAAGCATGTGCATGTATTATGAAATGTAAGACTCTGCTTTTGTACCTTCACTGGCACGTTGTTAGAAACATTGTGGATGTTTTCTTTATGCTTATTAGATTAAAATATCTTCTGTTTGCATTGTGAATGATGCTTTGTCATTTCCCTTTTAATAAGCATTTCAACTACAGTTGATTTAAGATGGTGACAATCAAAACTGAAATTTGGAGATTTTTTAAAAATGAGCCATAAACCATGTATTAAGTTGTGTTGATGATAGCTGAGAACAAATGGATAAGGGGTGTGACTGACACTTATTAATAACAACAAGTGTACTTAATTGTTTTTCTTTTTTTACTTTCAGCAACTAGTAAATCTCTTTGCTCGATTGGCTACAGATAATATAGGGTACATAGATTGGGATCCATATGTACCAAAGGTAATTAACATGTGAACATACAACATACAATAGCACTGATAGCACATTTTGTGTCTTTAAGAAGTGTGTTTTGGGGGCGCCTGGGTGGCGCAGTCGGTTAAGCGTCCGACTTCAGCCAGGTCACGATCTCGCGGTCCGTGAGTTCGAGCCCCGCGTCGGGCTCTGGGCTGATGGCTCAGAGCCTGGAGCCTGTTTCCGATTCTGTGTCTCCCTCTCTCTCTGCCCCTCCCCCGTTCATGCTCTGTCTCTCTCTGTCCCAAAAATAAATAAACGTTGAAGAAAAAAAAAAAAGAAGTGTGTTTTGTATTCTAATTGCTAAAATTTTTTTGACCACTAGTAAAAACATAAAGTTTTCCGGGATAGACCATTTATTTTAAAAAATTAATTGGTTCATATTAAGGTATCAGAAATGTATGATTTTTGTCTTGCCTACGCAGGACATGAAATAGAAGTTTCAGAGTGAGTAATTTAGGAAGTACAAAGTGTATTATTCAGGGTCTTAATTCATACCTTCCAACAAATTTTGGGTATTGTATTTGATTGCTATTCTAGAGTGTTCTACACTTTTTACGTCACATTTTCCTTGAGCAAATAAAGCTAGAGTGTCTCTAGGTGCAGTGTTCTTAACACGGCAGCTTCTGTTTTGTTTCAGCTGCCCTAAATCCAAGAGGGCCTGCACGGGGTGTACAGGTGATTCTGATCCACACCTTGACTGTAGAGCAGGGAGGCAGAGCAGCAAACATTAAGCTTACTGTTTACCTCTGCTTGTGCTATCCAGTAGAAACTAAAGAGAAAAAGTCATTTTCTTCTACATTTGGGCTCCCTATCTGTTACTAATGACAGGTTTTAAATATAAATTATTAAAATGCAATTAAGATTAAAATGCAAATTCTTGGGGAAAAAATCAAATCAGTGTTAGAATTTTGAAAGGGAAAATAACTCACTAGAAGACAAGTATTTGCATTTATATCTCATTTGTTTGTTTATGGGTTCATGGATACAGCTGCTTCAGATTCATACTCCTGTGACCTCAGTGTCATTTAAGAAAAAGCAAATAGGGGTGCCTGGCTGGCTTAGTTGTTAGAGCATGTAGCTCTTGACCCTCAGTTCCGTGTTGGGTGTAGCTATTACTTAAATAAATAAACTTAAAATAATAAAACATTTTAAAAAGTAGATCTTCTATGTAAATTTTATGGAATATAGCAGTATATAAAACTGCCAAACAGTATGTAATTTTGCTTAAAAACTGATCCAGTGAGAATACATGCACCAACACTAATATATATCACTTCAGTTATTTAAGGAGTTACTTGATACCTATAAATATTTATTCTTAATTCTTTTTTTCTTTTGAAAGATATTTACGAGAATTCTGAGAAGCTTGAACCTCCCAGTGGGAAGCAGTCAAGTGTTAGTCCCAAGATTTTTAACAAATGCATATGATATAGGACATGCTGTAATATGGATCACCGCCATGATGGTTTGTAACACATTAGTTCTTCTAAATTTTGTGTTAACCATGTAAAAACATAAGCCTATATTAGTATCGTAGTTGGTCATTTGATTCTTCGATATTTTCTGATGTAGTAAGCTAATGTTTCTCAGACCCAGAATGTAGTCATAACACACCATTTATAAATCTCTCTAGCCAATGAATCCTAAAAATAGAGTCAGGGTTTAGAGTTTTGAGAGATTTAGAATATCTAACAATCTCACAGATGAAAGGTCAAGTTGATAATGATAAATGTGGGATTAGAACTTGGGGTTTTGCATATGCTCAGTACTAATGCATTCAGTGTTAAAGATGGCACTGAACACAAAGCTAATTAAATAAAGTAATCTTGGTGAAGGGAGAAGTATGGAGGATTACTTTACTGACATCCTTGAAGGAAAGTAAAAATATATCCACATGCTTGGATTTCAGTGTCCTCTTCCAAATAAGAATATTAAAACAATTTCATACTGTAATTTTCTGGATTGTCATTCATTCTCCTTCTACAGCTCTTTTTAAAATTATTATTCTGTGTTTGATATTTTTCCCCAGGTTATGTTGTTTCGTTGTTGTTTTTTCTGTGGATAAGGCAGGATGGTTGTGAGAAGTTTAGCTCTTACATTTTATTCTTAGATTAAAAAGAGAAATTCAGGGGCATCTAGGTGGCTCAGTCAGTTAAGCATTGACTTTGGCTCAGGTCATGATCTCACAGCTCAAGGGATAGAGTCCTGCGTCAGGCTCTGTGCTTACGGCTCAGAGCCTGGAGCCTGCTTCAGATTCTTTGTCTCCTCTCTCTCTCTGCCCCATCCCTGTTCGCTCTCTCTCTCTCAAAAATAAATGAACATTAAAATTAAAAAACGAAATTCATTCTCCCCCCGTTTTTGCAATTTCATTATTAAATAGGAAAATCCTATTTTCTTTATAATACTCCAAATGAGCAAAAACATCTGGATGTTTACTATGTTATATCAGCAATTTTTTTTTTTAGGAGCAACAGAATTATATCATGATTAGTATCAACTTTATTTTAGTTCATGTTGCTCTTCTTTCTCATACAGTTTTTCCCATTGACATGTTTATTTTGTGTTAGATATGAATATTGAATATAATAAAAATGCTAATTATTATGCTAGGATTTTGAAATTTTTGTTGGTTTTTGTTTTGTTTTGTTTTTTTGCTATGGAATTATTATGGTCTCTTTAGCAGTTGACCTACTCTAAATTGGGAACATGAACGTGGATTTCATTTCAACAGGAAGACATGTTCCTCATGTAACTGGACAGTCTACCTTAGGTCTAGGCTGTTTCTTGAAAGATCATCTTGAGAGAGAGAGAGAAGGTTTCAAGACCAAGCTGTAGTTCTTCAACGTTTATTTATTTTTGGGACAGAGAGAGACAGAGCATGAACGGGCGAGGGGCAGAGAGAGAGGGAGACACAGAATCGGAAACAGGCTCCAGGCTCTGAGCCATCAGCCCAGAGCCCGACGCGGGGCTCGAACTCACGGACCATGAGATCGTGACCTGGTTGAAGTCGGACGCTTAACCGACTGCGCCACCCAGGCGCCCCCAAGCTGTAGTTCTTTATCTTCAGGGCTGTTCAACTTGATAAGATTGAATACTAACTTTTTTCCTCATTTTTCCCCCAGATCATGTTGTTGTTTGGTGTGTTTGTTTGGGTAATAGATTGAGAAAAAACTATTTTTCCTTTGAGTCAAAATGTGGTCAAGGGCACCTGGGTGATTCAGTTGGTTAAGCTTCCGACTTTGGCTCAGGTCATGATTTCACAGTTCGTGGGTTTGAGCCCTGTGTCGGGCTCTGTGCTGACAGCTCAGAGCCTGGAGCCTGCTTTGAATATGTGTCTCTCTCTCTCTCTCGCTCTGCCCCTTTCCTGCCCGTACTCTGTCTGTCTGTCCGTCTCTCTCTGTCTCTCTCAAAATAAATAAACGTTTAAAAAAAAATTTTTTTTAATGTGGTCACATACCACAGGTTTAATCATTTGAAACATTTAGGAGTAATAATAATATATTTGAATCCATTTATGTAAATCTCACATCTTCATTTCCTGCAATAAGAAATTCACTTCTCACATCATTTAAGGAATGCTTTTTATGCCTGATGTTAGCACTCTTGGTTATTTTAAGACTCTCTTACTGACAAAAGTTTTTTCATTGCAGAAGAGTAAAATATGCTGATACCCTAAATTGAAAGATGTCTTTGCAGTTACCTAATTTGGTTTCAGTAGGTTATCCTTACTTTTAGTAGAGTGTTTTGAATTGAGGATTGTGGGAAGTTTACTAGCAAATTGTTTTTGGCTTTTATTTGGAGGTAGAATTGGTTTTTCTCATCAAGATGGATGTGCACCATGTTGGAGAGTTATATGCAGGCTTGGGCCTATTGATCCCTTCAATTTTCCAGGGTACTGAGGGTACTGATATTTTTATTCTTTTATCTGAATAGGGTGGACCAAGTAAGCTAGTACAGAAACACTTGGCTGGTTTGTTTAACAGCATCACATCTTTTTACCACCCTTCAAATAATGGGCGCTGGCTGGTGAGTATGTTCATTTTTTTATTGTAGGGTTTGGAACTTTTTAAAGTTATGGTCACACATAACTATTGCCTATTATGCAACCTGTAATACTATTTATGTCCTTCATATAAGTATAACTTTTGGCTATATGTAGCTGATTAAGTTCAGACTAAGATACTGTGTTCATAGAACATAAAAATAAGATAATACTGGTCCAGTAACTGGTGACAAAATGTCACATTCTGGTAATAGAAAGTACAGTCAGTGTGGTTTTTGGTTTTGGATTTTGTTTTCTTTCCACATTGCCTGGTTAGAATAGTTTTTCATGTAATGGAAGGTTCATCTGGTGCTAGAAAATAAAATTGACATTTGAGGGGCGCCTGGGTGGCTCAGTCGGTTAAGTCTCCTGCCTCAGGTCATGATCTCACTGTTAGTGAGTTCTAGCCTAAGAGATCTCCGCATGGAGATCAACATGGAGCCTGCTTGGGATTCTCTGTCTCCTGTCTGCCCCTCCCCTGCTCGTGCTTGCTCTCTCTCAAAAATAAACTTTATTTAAAAAAAAATAAAATTGACATTTAAAACACATATTTATTATTATCAGTAATTAATTGATAAAGTATTTTATTCTATCTAGTTATGCTATGCAGGTGCTTATAATAGATTGTAAGCTGTTATTTTAAGAAATTTTACTTGGATTGTAGAAAGGAACCATAACTATCTGTGTGGGAAATCAAACCTACCTTGGACTTTTTGCTTCTGTGTCCCCAGAACAAGTTAATGAAACTACTTCAGCGGTTGCCAAACAGTGTTGTTAGAAGATTGCATCGTGAAAGATACAAGAAGCCTTCTTGGTTGACTCCTGTGCCTGATAGCCATAAGCTTACTGATCAAGATGTTACAGACTTTGTACGATGCATTATTCAACCTGTCCTCTTGGCTATGTTTAGCAAAACTGGTAGTTTAGAAGCAGCACAGGCTCTGCAGAATCTTGCACTCATGAGACCTGAGTTAGTAATACCCCCTGTACTTGAAAGGTAAGTGTAGCTTTACATGTTTGGTTGAAGCCTTGGCCGGCCGTTCTGGTTATCTCTTCCCTCTACTCTGCTGTTCTACTTAGTTGTCTTTTCTGTGGCTTCTCTTTTGCTGTCTTGCTACTTATTCCTGTTCCTAGAGGAGAAGCAAGGCATTTTAACCTAATGATTGGTAGCTTGATAAAGGTTTACTGAAGAGAAAAGAAAATCGATACTAAATGGGTAAAATATTTTTGAATTATTGGCAAATTTTAGTTTTTGAAGTTTGTGCTTAATAAAGTAAGGGTGCCAGGTGGGCTCAGTCGATGGAGCATGTGACTCTTGATCTCGGGGTTGTGAGTTTCAGCCCCATGTTGAGTATAGAGGTTACTTAAAAATAAAATTGTTTTAGGAAGCAAGCCAGCAAATAAGCAAGCTCTGACTGCTTTTACATAAAAATGTGAGTGTCACTAAATATTGAGAACGTGGCAGTGAAAGTGATTTTGGATTTCTTTTATTTCTTAGAAGCAGTGATACAGAAGAAAATTTGACTATCTTTATTATTTTCATGTACTATATAATCTTATATGTATTATTTCCACAATGTAGACTTTATTACATTCATTTTGTTTTGTGTGTTGAAATAGTAACAAGTTTTCTGTTTGCCTAGTCACTGTCACATTATAGGCCTTCTGAACTTCTATAATAATACTTAAGCTTTCTGTTAATTCCTCTGCTGTCTGAAGTTGAGCTTTATGATTTCTCTTTTAATGTCTTACTCAAAAAAAAAAAAATACTAGTTTTTTAGGGCTAAGAAGGGTCTAACAGTTTGAGTTCCATAAAATAGATTTGTGCAAGGTCCTTTAGTGATAATGTACATGACAGCCTATTATCTTACTTACCATTGAAATAGCATAATTGGGCACATGTGCTTGGAGACAGGTATCCTGTTAAAGATCTTGGGGTGCCTGGGTAGCTCAGTTGATTGAACGTCTGACTTAGGCTCAGGTCATGATTTCACGAGTTCATTTCATGATATATCATGAGTTTGAGCACCACATTGGCCTCTGTGCTGTCCGTGCAGAGCCCGCCTCAGATCCTGCGTCAGGTCCTCTGTCCCACCCCCCTTTTCATCCTTCTCCTGCTTGCGCAGGAGAAGAAACATTAAAAAGATAAAAAGAAACATTAAAAAGATAAAAAAAAATCTTGACCAAAATAGGTCTCCATTATTTATAAATTGCCATAAATATTCAAGTTGTCCCCATTGCCATAAATATTCAAGTTTTACCTCATTTTCCAAACCTCTTGGTTTGGCCCTGTCCCCATTGCCATAAATATTCAAGTTTTACCTCATTTTCCAAACCTCTCCCTTTTTTGTGTGCACTTTGGGGGCAGTGAAACTCTCCAAGTACATATAATTTAATTAGGAAATAGAATGGGGAAATTAGGCGCTTTCTACTCTGTCCCAACCCCCAATATTCTCTGCACTCTGGCCTCCATGTGGTAGCGACACTAACAGTTCAGTGGCAGTTCCCTTGATGTCTCTTGTTGAGGAGAGACATACCTTTAAGGAGGGACTTCAGCTGTTTGCATAGCTAAAATTTTGAAGATGGGAATATTTTGATATTTGTTTTGGCTTATTTCAGTGTTTTCCAGCTGATGAATTATGTAGTGAGATACATTTTTAATAGAAGGAACGAAGTTTATATACAAGTAAAATTATTCCAACAAATTTTTCTTTAGTTTTCACTTTTTGGACAAATTTAATAGCATATTGAGTGATACATGCTTGGCCAAGAGACATGTAAGAGACATATTTTCAAGTTTTCTTTTATAAAAGCAAAAGTACTTTAAAAAGTAAAAATGTAGAAAATAAATTTTAGGCATTTGATTTTAGATCTCCTTTGTTAAAGAGTTGGTTTGTTTTCTTCATCTTTTAAAGTAAGCATAGGTTTGTTAGTTTTTTTTATCCCTGTTCCAAATCCTCTGTTTTTCTACTTATGATGAAATTTCCTTTATTATTTACTTTTTCTGTATAAGAGAAATTTAAAATGACTGCATTTTAGACTCCCCCCCACCCCCCACAGGATAGATTCTCAAAAATGAAATCACTTGTCAAAGAGTGAATGTTCTTGCCTTGTATTTTACTTGATGATCAAAGACTGTATTTGTATTATTCTCCCTTGTTTATGCACTCTAGTGTCAGGAATCTTCTACTATGTTTCTAGAGCAGATTTCCAATTTTAAAATACCAGTCTTCTAAAAAGTATAAGAGAAATTTCAGGGTTTTAGTAAAGATTGTTTTTCGAATAAAAGGGAAGAGTGGGATAATTATCACTTGCTCTTCCTGAATTCTGATAGTCACTGACCATTAGATTAGATGCATTCCTATTGACATAGGGAAGTAGATTCAGCTGACTGAAATAATGCTAGATCTTGCCAGTTTATGTTCTTTTTCACTGTGAAATATGCATGGAGAGCCATGGTGAGGTGGCAGGGGATTGGGGAAACATGTACCTTTCCTTTATGTGTGTGATTCTGTTAACTTATACTCACTCAAAAGATTCTGCTAGCTACCAGCCTTAAAGCCAACATGTAGTTTATGAATTTGGGAGATTTAATGTATTGTGCCTTTTTATCTGTGATGGAATCTTTTTTTTTTTTTTTTTTTTTTTAATTCTGTTTTCAACTGTAGAACGTATCCTGCACTAGAGACTTTAACAGAACCTCACCAGCTCACAGCTACTTTAAGTTGTGTAATTGGAGTAGCCCGCAGTTTGGTATCAGGTGGCAAATGGTTTCCTGAAGGTCCAACACACATGCTACCTCTGTTGATGAGAGCATTGCCTGGGGTGGATCCAAATGACTTCAGTAAATGCATGGTAAGCATATTTATCATTCTGTTTTGTGTCTGAGTTCTAATTGTGTGAGTTGGCATCCTGTTAAGTTTTGTTTAGAACATAGTTCAGTGTAAAATTTGTTAATGCTAAAAGGATTATATCTGTAGATGCCCAAGTTTAGATCTGTGGATGGTTAGTTGAGCTATATGTCATCCTTCAGAAGTAATGTGCCATAATCTGGATACATTTAATGATCACAGGATTTTTTCAACACTTGCTATATATTTACTATTTTCTTTAAGTAGAGATATTAAAAATCAGCATGTGATCATTTGTACTTCCCTTCATCTACACTGATGACAAGGGCATGATAACAGTTGCTGGGTGCAAAATGCCAGATCCCATTTATACACACCTCTCCTGACTTAGAATTTTGGCTCACCTTCCCTCTTCCCCAATCTGTAGCTTTTTTTTTTTTTAAATTTTTTTTTCAACGTTTATTTATTTTTGGGACAGAGAGAGACAGAGCATGAACGGGGGAGGGGCAGAGAGAGAGGGAGACACAGAATCGGAAACAGGCTCCAGGCTCTGAGCCATCAGCCCAGAGCCCGACGCGGGGCTCGAACTCACGGACCGCGAGATCGTGACCTGGCTGAAGTCGGACGCTTAACCGACTGCGCCACCCAGGCGCCCCTGTAGCTTTTGCTTAAGCATTTCCTTTTTATCCTTAGTTAATGTTGCATCTTTGGGTGGGGGGCAAAGTTAACTTTTGATTGACAGAGAGTTGGAGAATGTTGTGCTTAAACATAATAAATAACTATGGAAGTAAATTTAATGTAACTTCATTACTAAAGTAACAGCTCCTTAATTATGAGGAATCTTAAAATGTTCAAATCTAAGTAAAAAATTTCCTGGAATATTACTGTGGTATTTCCCTTAAGATAATTTATTTGGGTACTTTTTTATTGTAGCTTATGGTATACTTGTATTTTTGAATTAGAATTACATAATTACTGTTAAATTTTTTGCATCTTCCCACAGATCACATTCCAGTTTATAGCAACATTTTCCACTCTGGTGCCTTTAGTAGATTGTTCATCTGTACTACAAGAAAGAAGTGACCTCACAGAAGTAAGGATGCTTACTGGTTGTAGAAAGATTGTTAACTGAGTTGTAACTCTTATGTAAATGCATAGTAATATTTTTTTTTATTTTTTTTAATGTTTATTAATTTTTGACAGAGAGAGAGACAGAGCATGAGTGGGGGAGAGGCAGAGAGAGGAAAACACAGAATCTGAAGCAGACTCCAGGCTCTGAGCTGTCAGCACAGAGCCCGACGTGGGGCTTGAACGGACTGTGAGATCATGACCTGAGCCCAAGTCAGATGCCCTACCGACTGAACCACCCAGGCACCCCGCATAGTAAAATTTGATAGTTTAAGTACCAACAGTTTCAGATTACTATTTTGTGGGGCACCGGGTGGCTCACGTCGGTTTAGCATCCGACTCCATTTCAGCTCAGATTGTGATCTCATGGTTTGGATTCTATGTCTCTCCCTTTCTTTCTCTGCCCCTATGCCTGCCTGTCTCTCTCTCTCTCTCTCTCTCAAAATAAATAAACATTAAGATTACTATTTTGTGATTAGAATGATATAAATGGAAGGCCAGGTCATTGGTAAGATAAACTGCAGAGCACCCACCAAATGCTGTAGGTCAAAAACAGGCTATTTTTGGGGCGCCTGGGTGGCGCAGTCAGTTGAGCGTCCGACTTCAGCCAGGTCACGATCTCACGGTCCGTGAGTTCGAGCCCCGCGTCAGGCTCTGGGCTGATGGCTCAGAGCCTGGAGCCTGTTTCGGATTCTGTGTCTCCCTCTCTCTCTGTCCCTCCCCCGTTCATGCTCTGTCTCTCTCTGTCCCAAAAATAAACAAACGTTGAAAAAAAAAAATTAAAAAAAAAATAGGCTATTTTTTTATTTGTTTATTTTTGAGAGAGAGACAGACATTGTGAGTGGGGGAGGGGCAGAGAAAGAGAGGGAGACACAGAATCCAAAGCAGACTCCAGGCTCTAAACTGTCAGCACAGAGCCAGACAAGGGGCTCGAACCCATGAACCATGAGTTCATGACCTGAGATGAAGTCAGATGCTTAACCGACTGGAGCTACACAGGAGCCCCAGAAAATGGGCTATTTTTGTAAACAACTGACATCTGGAGGTGCATTTCAATTTTTTGTCACTTTTAATTTTCCGTTAAGTAAAGTAGTGGTGGGTTTTTTAAATTTTGTTTTTGTTTGGTTTTAGCTTAGGAATAAATGTATTGAGGGGATTGACATCTAATGAACAGACATTTTTTCATTACTGACTGATTCTTCTAGAACTATTTTCTTTATTGTAGGCATGTTTCTACTTGAATTTTGTCATTTGAATATTCAAGTCATAAGATAATTCTTTATACATACACTAGAAGTTTAAAAACTGTAGTTATTGAGAAAGATGGCTATTTGACTTCTATTTTGGGCCCTTATAAAATAATGCTAATTGCTGCTTATTTTGGTTCCCGGAAAGGAGTAGGTTGGGTTTTTCTAAATTGATAGGTGGTTACTGGTACTGTTTCTCATCGTACTCAGTATAATAATGTAGTGTTAAATCTATTTTGTAGGCCATAATTGAGTTTCATTAGTTCTGAGAAAAAAATCAAAGGCTATTTTTAATTTTTCTCCGCATTGAAATGTCATAGGTGGAACGAGAACTTTGTTCAGCCACAGCTGAATTTGAGGATTTCGTCTTACAATTTATGGACAGGTGAGTATGTGCTCCAGACCCGCTCTCTATTAGACATTTAAAGAAATGACTATCCTGTCCAAACAACTTCAGTCTCTCTGCATAACTACTGTCCTGGGACCGAGCTTCTGAAGTTATAAAAGGACAAGTGATACGTGAACCTGCACAAATTGCATAGCTGTCATTCGAATAGTCATGACAATGGAGGGTTATCTAATTATCATCAAAAATGTTAAACTAGTTCTTAGTTGCTAAAATTATCCTTTCTTTGGATTATTTAGATGTTTTGGACTTATAGAAAGTAGCACATTGGAGCAAACAAGAGAAGAGACAGAAACTGAGAAAATGACTCATTTGGAGAGTTTGGTCGAATTAGGTCTGTCTTCTACGTTTAGTACAATCCTCACACAATGTTCCAAAGAAATATTTATGGTAAGAGTCTCATTGCTGCAAAAAATTAAATCCCAATCTTGTTTTCTTTGTTCTTTTAAAAATTGAGCTTCAAGTTACTTTAAATATTATATCATGCCATTTATCCTTGGTTTCATACTAAAATTTGAAAAAGATGAACAGTTGATTCTCATTATATTTGCAAATTTCATATTTGCAAATTCATCTGCTTGCTAGAAAATTTGTTTGTAATCCCAAAATCTGTACTCACAGTGCTCTTGTGCAGATGTGTAAATTTGGCAAAAATTATGAGTTGCACGTGTTCACGGCTGAGGTTGAATAATGTAACACACTCTGCCTTCTTGTTTCAGCTCTAATGCTGTAAGCAAGCTTTGTGTCTATTAATTTATTTATTTTAAAGTTTATTTATTTTTGAGAGAGAATGTGAACAAGAAAGGGGCAGAGAGGGAGAATCCCAAGGAGGCTCCACGTGGTCAGTGCGCAGAGCCCAACGTAGGGCTCGAACTCAAAAACCATGAGATCATAACCTGAGCCAAAATCAAGAATCGGGTGCTTAACCAGCTCAGCCACCCGGGCACCCTGGCAAGTTTTACGTCTATTTAGTGCCAGGTTTTCACATTTTGTGCTTTTTGTTGGGGATTTTGTGGTTTAAAATGGCCCCCAGGAGTAGTGTTGCAGCACTGTCTACTGTTCTGAGCGTAAGAGAGTTATGATGTGCCTCACAGAAAATAACGTTTTAGATGAGCTTTATTCAGGCATGGGTTACAGTGCCATTGGCTGACTTCACTGTCAGTGAATCAACAATATATATTAAATACACGTAAAGCAAAATTATATATTTATCAGTTGATGAAAACCAGAGACTTGTTAGTACTTAATCCTGCATTTCCTCTAGGAACAGTGATCCAGTATTTGCTATATCAGTGCTCAAAGCAACTTTATAGAATATATTACATATAACAAGAATTGACTGCATTTTTTTAATCAATTAAATACTGTTTGGGAGGAAAGTTTTGGAAATTGTTTATGCCATCACATGATAGAAATTAAATCCCAAGTATAAAAATCTGGCAAACTGTAGGGGTGCCTGGTTGGCTCAGTTGGTTGAATGTCTGACTCGGTATCAGCTCAGGTCATGATCTCAGGGTTGAAAGCTACCAGTGCAGAGCCTGCTTGGGAGTCTCTCTTTCTGCCCTTCTCCCTGCTTGCACTCTTTCTCTCTCTCTCTGTCTCAAAATAAATGAATGAACTTAAAAAAAAAAAACCCACAAACTATAATGAATGGGAGTTTGTGTGTCCTCCCAAGACATTCTGTAAACATTCAGTTATTCAGTATTGGTTGACACGTTATGTATAGTGTGGTCTTTAAGACCAGACTTTACTTCCGTTCATGTTTCATCTCCCTTCATCTGAGATTATGACTGTTCAATGTATTTATCTTGGGTAAAAGCTAAACTGCTTTACAGATGCATGAAATATTTACTGATATATGTTAGTATAGAAATTAATGTAAATTTTCTCATTTAACCAAAATCTTTTGAAAGGAGTTGTGGATTAACGATCCTGAAAATTGTAAATGTCAAGAGTCCATTCTTTCATTCGGCAGTTCTGTGATATGATTGTAAAATTGCTTTCTGTGATGTGATTGTAAAAAAGCAGGATTCAAAACCTGCTTCCAGGTCTTTTAGAGTAGAGATAAATATTTATAGTTTGTAGCATTGTCAGAATGACAAAGTCTAAATATTAAGTACTCCAAAAACTTCCCTTTGTTGTGTTGGATTAGCCAGCAAGATAATTTGCATTTGCTTCCAACAGCTGTAGTTTTGTGTTTAATGTTTCTGTAGGAAATAAAATCTTGTGTCTGAAATGTTTTGTTCACGTTAGGGTTTTGTGCAAAGATTGTTCATAGATCTTGATGTTATATTGAATTATTTTTGTAATTCAGATGGTTAAATTTCCTACGTGGTTTTTTTTATAGTCTGAATCTCATTTTTCTTTTATGGTGCATAAGATGTTTAGTTTTCTTAAAAATGCTCATAAGACATTTTCATTTCTTACATATCTTAATAGGTCGCCCTTCAGAAAGTTTTTAATTTTTCTATTTCACATATATTTGAAACAAGAGTAGCAGGCCGCATGGTGGCTGACATGTGCCGTGCTGCTGTAAAGGTGAGTTTGGTTTTTTTTTTTGGATGAATTAATGCATCAGTAACCAGCAGGTTTATGTGGTTACTTAATTTTAGACATGTTTGTTATAACTTACAATATATCATTCTTTCAGTAGCAGCTTACCACCCTTATTTGCCTCTGAAAATAGTGTTAGGGTATACTTTGTGAGTGTTGAATATTCTTGGCCTTCCAGAAAACTTACTTATACAAATTTGTTTTCAGTGCTGCCCAGAGGAGTCTTTGAAGTTATTTGTTCCTCACTGCTGCAGTGTTATAACTCAGCTTACAATGAGTAAGTCATAAGGTTACTATTCTGTATTTGCAATTTTAGGTGAATTTTTTTTTTTTTTTTTTTGGTTTCTAGAACTCTGTTGATGAAAACAGATTCTGTAAGCTAAGCAATAATTAAATTAAATCTTATACTTTGGGACAGGGATTACTCAAATTAAGGTATCATCCAGGTGACATCTTAGAAATTTTACTTTGTTAAATTGGTATTTTCATATATACAAGAACCATTCAGAGGTTGCCATAAAAAAATACCAGTTATTTTGTGAGAACTGGAGGAGCAGGAGTCCTGACTGATGTGTTTATTTTCTTGCAAATTGAGTTTTTACCTTTTCTGGAGCAAGTTCAGCCACATGAGGAAGGAATGAAAAGTCTCTCAAAAAGAGAGTCTTCTCAGCTGTTAGAGACACTAAAGACAAATATTGAAAAATGATGCATTTAAGTTGGATACATGGTTCTCTTTCCTTGATACTGTTTTGCCATTTTTAGATGATGATGTGTTAAATGAAGAAGAGCTAGATAAGGAGTTGCTGTGGAATCTTCAACTTTTGTCTGAGGTATTGTAAGTCTTTGGATTAAGGAAATAGTAGTATGTAAATGTTGGCTTGGTTTTAGAATTTCATGTTTTTTTAATTGACATAAAAATATGAAAAATCTTAAGTTTTAGAAATTTTTTGATATGGCTACAAAATCAGATAATGTCATTTTCTTATTATCAAAAGAGTGATATTGGTTGATGACTTTCCATGTGCAGCACTCTGCTTTTTACTGATTAATTCTGATACTAGTAACTTTCATTGAAAATTTTACCATTTTGGCAATTCTTTTTTTTTTTTCCTTCCTCCTGTCTACATTCTAAATTTGGCTCTCAGTGAGACTTCATTTTCCTTTATGGGTTAGTTCACTGGGTAGCGAACAGAGAACTACAATTAAGTTTTGTCTCTTTGAGGAGATAGACCTTTTTTTTCCTTATGAATTATATCTACATTTAATTAATTTTCTAATTAGTTCTCATTAATATATAAGGAAAGCATATACATACATACATATATGTATGTAAAACTAGTTTGTTTGCAGATTTCTTATTGTTTCTAATCAGTTATCAGTAGATTTTACATCTTTAAAAATTTTTTTTTAGTTAATATATGTATTATTTAATTTACATCCAAGTTAGTTAGCATATAGTGCAACAATATTTCAGGAGTAGATTCTTTAATGCCCCTTACCCATTTAGCCCATCTACCTGCCACAACCCCTTCAGTAACCCTCTGTTTGTTCTCTATATTTAAAAAAAAAATTTTTTTTAATGTTTAT